GGAAGATCTCTTTCTTTTTCTCTCTGTCTCACCTCTCTAACTCTGACTTTCAAATAAATTAAGTAGGTAAGTAAATAAATAAATAAATATTTTAAAGAGCAGCCTTAACTTTTCAGCATAATATAAAGGTAATACAAAAATAGTGTCATGAACATAGCTGACATAAAATGACTCATTAGAGATTTTCATTCACCTTTTCAACAAGTTTTGCTTTTACAATTCGACAAGTTTTGTTTTCAGATTGTTTTTTCTATTTTTTATATATTCCACTTTCTAATTAGATCATTCTTTTTTAAACTCAAATTTAAGAATCATATTTAGTTTAGCATTCTTTGGAAACTACATTGGCGGTTTCTTAAATTTTCATTCCAGGTAGTACTAATTCATGACATACTCTATTATTTATGATATAATGAAGATCATTCATACATCATAAGGAAGGTTGTTGGAAATAATAACACACAATGGTAAAATGTCAAAACAGAAATAATAAAAGGAATACATTTTTTTTCTTGCACAGAAAGTTATCTAACAGCAAAAAACATCGTTATTTCCATAATTTCTTAAATGAAAGGATATTTTCTCCCTCAACAAAATGGAATAATTGACAATACTTTCTGAGTTTAGGACATGTGAAATATATACATTATATTGTTATTATTCTTTACTTTCAGACAAAAAACAAGTATTTCTATTAAAATTTACAAAAATCACAAAAATGTGTGCATATTTTGCTCTATTTTAACACTTAAAAATGAACCAACTTCTACTAAAGAACTTCCTTTGACCCTTCCCTCTCTTTCCACAGTTAGACAAGTCTAGCATACCGTAACTTCTTTACCCTTTCTATACCTCAATGCTGTATATGGGAATGTTATATATAGATTATATTTACACATTTCCTCTAATTACCTATTATTTTAAAAGATTATCTTCGAACTATACATTAAATTTTACTACCTGTTTAATGAATATTTAAGCTGTTTATAAGCATACTTACTGATCAATAGTTATTTCCTTTCATACCTTCCCTAACCTTGAGTTTTCTGATTTACATCCAAGTCAGCTGAAAATTATTACTGGTAGTTTATCCTTAAGACTGTTCCAAGAAAAGATGTAATTCTAATTCTCCGAAGCTATGTGAGTCACAATTTGGTGAAGTGAAAATCTTAGATCATAATGTTTCCTAAAAATGTGATAGCCAATTGTTCTTTGTCTTTTGACTCTTGAAATTCTGAATGACTCAGAGGTCACATTACCCTTTCACACTGTACAATAAACTGGCTCTAAAACAAATTTTTTCCTTAACTGGGGATCAGCATAGCTAGTAAAGTCACCACCTGCTATGCCAGCATTCCATATGGATGCCAGTTTGTGTCTCAGCTGCTCCACTTCTGATCCAGCTCCCTGGCAATGTGCCTGGGAAAGCAGCAGAAGACTGCCCAAGTGCTTGGACCTCTGCTACCCACATGGGAGACCTGGATGAAGACCCTGGCTCCTGGCTTCGTCCTGGCTAAGTGTTAGCTATTGTGGCCACTTGGGGAGTGAACCAGCAGGTGGAAATCTGTCTTTGTCTCTCGCTCTCTCTCTGCAACTCTGCCTTTCAAATAAATAAATAACCTTTTAAAAAATTGTAAATTTTGTCCAGATCTTACTTAGGTCAGTTTATCATGTCCTTCCAAACTATCCTACTATTTGTTGAATGACTGCTTTCCTTCATACAGCTCTATTCTTCATGACATTTTTTTAGCACTTCTATCCCTTAAATTTCTGAGATTGTTTTTAATGCATATTATTCTCTTATGTTTTTCAAGTTAACAAAGTCTTGCCTAATTCCCCTACTATTTATGTCTCTTGCTTTTCTTTCACAGATAAAAATTTTTAGATAGGTAAAAGATGCTTTATTGAATCCTTCATAGAAATTTCCCAAACATCATCTGGTTTCTTAAAATAACATGCAATTAAAGCTATCAAATGATACACTGATTTCTCACAAAGTAAATATCTGTATTATACTTACATGAAAATCTTAATAACCAAGACTGACTTTAGAAGGCAAAATTTCTTTCTAAAATGATAGAGTATCTTTTTCTAATGCATTACCTTTAGTATAATCAACAACTGCTTCTAAAGCTGCTATCCTAATATCCACAAAGTGGCCATATTCAGCATAAGATTTAAAAAGAGCTGGATCACTTGGCACATGTCCATTCTTCTGAAGCACCCGTATGGCTCTCAAACAACTAGGGGGGGAAAAACACATTAACTGCTTTCATTAAGATATTATGAATCAAATTTGTTTCATAGGTATCAAACTCAATTGTAGCAGTAAATTTAAAAACTGAAGTGACTGGAATCAACCTTCAAGTCTGTAAATTGAATTTCTGTAATGATGAGAAAAATTCAAAATTATGGGACGACATGTTGCCTAGCTGTGAAAACACTCGTTAAGATGCCTGCCTGGGTTTGAGCTCCACCTCCAGCTCCTCATTCCAGCTTCCTGTCAATGCAGACCAGGGGAGGCAGAACGTGATGGCTCAAGTAACTGGGCTCTTGTCACCTACATGGGAGAGACCCAGATTGAGTCACTCACTGGCTCCTGACCCAGCTCAAGTGGTTGCATTCATTTCCAGAACATACCACTGAATATGAATGCTCTCTGATCCTCTCTCTCACTCTGTCTCAATTTTTTAAATTCAAAATTATTACACTAAAACCTATTAAAAGAAAATAATCTTCAAAATGTATTTGAAAACTCAAAGTTTCAAGAAATTTCAAGTATCATTTTACTTATAACAGGAACATTCTTTAGAAAAAAGTATTTAGCATAAAAAATTTACCAAGATACATATAGAATCTTAAAAGTATTTAAGATATTTGAATCAATAATCAACTTTTTGCAAACTCCTAAAAAAATAAAAAATTTTGACAGCCATATTCAAAGAAACTGACAGAAGTGAAAAAGTGAATAGAGTTGTGGTGCAGTGGGCTGGGCTGCCGCCTGCAATGCCAGCATCCCATGTGCCGGTTGGAGTGCCAGCTAAACAAATTTCCAGACCAGCTCCCTGCTAGTGTGCCAGGAAAATCAACAGAAGACTCTCAACATTGGGGACCTGGAAGAGGCTCCTGTCTCCTGGCTTCAGCCTGTTTCAGCTCCAGTCAATTGTAGCCATTTGGGGAGTGAACCAGTAGTTGGAAGACCTATCTCTGTAAACCTTTCTTTCAAATAAGTAATATCTTTAGAAAAAAAAAAAAAAGGAAAAAGTCATCTTAAAAGATTAGAAATAGAAGATTTTATATTATAGCCCATAGAATAAAAGGCTATCTAGACATAAAAACAACCCAGATGAAGAATTTCTGACACGAGAAAATGCTTCTGATACAAACAGAATAAAAACTATATATAATTTCATCTCAAGAAATTAAAAATTTATATAGTTATATATAGTTATAGAGGGAAAAAAATTTAGAGGAACACTCTCCGAATATGACAATATCTGTGGGTGACAGAATCAGAGATTTTTAATTTTTTCCTTTTACTTTACTACATTTCTTAATTTGCTATAATGAGAACAGATTTCTTTAATAGTAATGAAAATAATTTATTTTGAAAGTCAGAGCTAGAGATAAAGGGAGAGATCTTCCATGCGCTGATTCACTCCCCAGAAGGCCTCAATAGCCACTGCTGGGTCAGGTCAAAGTCAGGAGCTTCATTAGGGTCTCCCATGTGGGTGCATGGGTCCAAACACTTGAGCTGTCTTCTGCTGCTTTTCCCAGGCCACTAGCAGGGAGCTGGATCAGAAGCGGAGCAGCCAGGATACAAACCGGCATCCAAATGGGATGCCGGCCTGTGTTGCAGGTGGCAGTTTTACCTGTTCCACCAAAACACCAACTCCTAGATAGTCCTAAAAAGTAAAGAATTTAATCATACCTGACAGTGATGGTATGTCTATAACTTGGGAGAAGTTTTTCCATATTCAGAAACCTAGTGATTTCTTCAAGAATGAGTCTCACATCAGGATTGAGGTTATCCAAAGTTCTAACCTCATTATTCACACTAACTGCAGGAGTAACAGAGTTGGCCAGGGCATCAATCATTTCTGCACGGTAATAATTATCTGAAAACTAAGGCAAGAAATAATTAATTTGAAATATATCGAACATATATTATATTACATATATTTTAATAATTTAAAGTATTAATCTGAAATACAATCTGAAGTATACTTTTATTATCTGAAAAGGTAAGCAACTTCTCCAGTAAATATATTCAGCTCTGTCCCTTGTATGGAGTCATACCTTGGAAAGTAAGAGTAAAAGAAATCGACTAATCAGTGACACATTTTTTAACTGAACAAATATTTACTTCCTAGGTACTCTTATGGTAACCTAGTCAGATCCTATATAAAGAGATAGCAGGGCCACATATCTTGCTGCTAACACAGAACTTAACATCAGTATTCAATGCTCTACTTTGTAATATATAAACATAGAACCAACTTAAAAAACAGACACTATAGGGACATTTTCAAACTGTCACTTTGCTGATGGGGCTATTTGTTCCAGGACCTAGTCCTCTGTCTGGCTCCCATTTTTAATAGCTCAATTAATCCTTTTATTTCAGAGATTTCTTGGTCTCATGCATTTGGTTTAACAGCCCCACATATCAGCAGCAACTTCGTGAGAAAATGTCTAAACTGAGAAGCAATCAGCACAAAGATTCTGAGTAACTCAGTATTCCTTATAATTATATCCAAGAATCAAAATAAACTTTTCTACTGGAATAAAAGGATTCCAATGACCAATTTAATTTTCCATTAAACTATAACGGAAAGAACTATATTATCCTGTCAGTGTCTTCTGATTGGTTCAGTATTTATCTTTTTAAGAGAGACTTATATATTCCCAAGATGAATCTTACAAAAGAATGTGAAAGTTGTCAAACGACACTATAGCCCAAATGGATCTAACAGATATCTATAGAACTTTTCATCCTACACAGAAAGCATTTACATTCTTCTCAGCAGTACATGGAACCTTCTCTAGGATTGACCACATACTAGGCCATAAAGCAAGTCTCAGCAAATTGAAAAGATTCAAAATCATACCATGCAGCTTCTCAGACCATAAAGGAATGAAGTTGGAAATTAGCAACTCAGGAATCCCTAAAGCATATGCAAATGCATGGAGATTGAACAACATGATCCTGAATGAACAATGGGTCATAGAAGAAATCAAAAGAGAAATCAAAAATTTTCTGGAAGTAAATGAGGATAACAGCACAACATACCAAAACTTATGGGATACAGCAAAAGCAGTGTTAAGAGGAAAGGTTATATCAATAGGTGCCTACATCAAGAAATTGGAAAGGTACCAAATAGATGAGCTTTCACTGCATCTCAAGGATCTAGAAAATCTGCAGCAAACCAGACCCAAATCTAGTAGGAGAAGAGAAATAATTAAAATCAGAGAAGAAATCAACAGGATTGAATAAAAAAAAAATTACAAAAAATCAGCCAAATGAGGAGCTGGTTTTTGAAAAAATAAACAAAATTGACACCCCCTTGGCCCAACTAACTAAAAAAAGAAGAGAAAAGACCCAAATCAATAAAATCAGAGATGAAAAAGGAAACATAACAACAGACACCACAGAAATAAAAAGAATCATCAGAAATTACTACAAGGACCTGTATGCCAGCAAACAGGGAAACCTATCAGAAATGGATAGATTCCTGGACACATGCAACCTACCTAAATTGAACCAGGAAGACATAGAAAACCTAAACAGACCCATAACTGAGACAGAAATTGATACAGTAATAAAGGCCCCCCCAACAAAGAAAAGCCCAGGACCAGACAGATTCACTGCTGAATTCTACCAGACATTTAAAGAAGAACCACCTCCAATTCTTCTCAAACTATTCAGAACAATCGAAAAAGAGGGAATCCTCCTAAATTCTTTCTATGAAGTAAGCATCACATTAATTCCTAAGCCGGAAAAAGATGCAAAATTGAAAGAGAATTACAGGCCGGACCACGGCTCACTAGGCTAATCTTCTGCCTGAGGCGCCGGCACACCGGGTTCTAGTCCTGGTCGGGGTGCCGGATTCTGTCCCGGTTGCCCCTCTTCCAGGCCAGCTCTCTGCTGTGGCCAGGGAGTGCAGTGGAGGATGGCCCAAGTCCTTGGGCCCTGCACCCCATGGGAGACCAGGAGAAGCACCTGGCTCCTGCCATCGGATCAGCGCGGTGCGCCAGCTGCACCGCACCAGCCACGGCGGCCATTGGAGGGTGAACCAACAGCAAAGGAAGACCTTTCTCTCTGTCTCTCTCTCTCTCTCTAACTGTCCACTCTGCCTGTCAAAAAAAAAAAAAAAAAAAAAGAGAATTACAGACCAATATCCCTGATGAACATAGATACAAAAATCCTCAATAAAATTCTGGCCAATAGAATGCAACAACACATCAGAAAGATCATCCATCCAAACCAAGTGGGATTTATCCCTGGTATGCAGGGATGGTTCAATGTGCGCAAAACAATCAATGTGATACACCACATTAACAGACTGCAGAAGAAAAACCATATGATTATCTCAATAGACGCAGAGAAAGCATTTGATAAAATACAACACCCGTTCATGATGAAAACTCTAAGCAAATTGGGTATGGAAGGAACATTCCTCAATACAATCAAAGCAATTTATGAAAAAACCACGGCCAACATCCTATTCAAAGGGGAAAAGTTGGAAGCATTTCCACTGAGATCTGGTACCAGACAGAGATGCCCACTCTCACCACTGCTATTCAATATAGTTCTGGAGGTTCTAGCCAGAGCTATTAGGCAAGAAAAAGAAATTAAAGGGATACAAATTGGGAAGGAAGAACTCAAACTATCCCTCTTTGCAGATGATATGATTCTTTATTTAGGGGATCCAAAGAATTCTACTAAGAGACTCTTGGAACTCATAGAAGAGTTTGGCAAAGTAGCAGGATATAAAATCAATGCACAAAAGTCAACAGCCTTTGAATACACAGGCAATACCATGGCTGAGAAAGAACTTCTAAGATCAATCCCATTCACAATAGCTACAAAAACAATCAAATACCTTGGAATAAACTTAACCAAGGATGTTAACGATCTCTACAAGGAGAATTACAAAATCTTAAAGAAAGAAATAGAAGAGGATACCAAAAAATGGAAAAATCTTCCATGCTCATGGATTGGAAGAATCAATATCATCAAAATGTCCATTCTCCCAAAAGCAATTTATACATTCAATGAGATACCAATCAAGATACCGAAGACCTTCTTCTCAGATCTAGAAAAAATGATGCTGAAATTCATATGAAGACACAGGAGTCCTCGAATAGCTAAAGCAATCTTGTACAACAAAAACAAAGCCAGAGGCATCACAATACCAGATTTCAGGACATACTACAGGGCAGTTGTTATCAAAACAGCATGGTACTGGTACAGAAACAGATGGATAGACCAATGGAACAGAATTGAAACACCAGAAATCAACCCAAACATCTACAGCCAACTCATATTTGATCAAGGATCCAAAACCAATCCCTGGAGTAAGGACAGTCTATTCAATAAACGGTGCTGGGAAAATTGGATTTCTACGTGCAGAATCATGAAGCAAGACCCCTACCTTTCACCTTACACAAAAGTCCACTCAACATGGATTAAAGACTTAAATCTACGACCTGACACTATCAAATTACTAGAGAGCACTGGAAAATCCCTGCAAGATATAGGTACCGGCAAAGACTTCTTGGAAAAGACCCCAGAAGCACAGGCAGTCAAAACCAAAATTATTATTTGGGATTGCATCAAATTGAGAAGTTTCTGTATTGCAAAGGAAACAGTCAGGAAAGTGAAGAGACAACCGACAGAATGGGGAAAAATATTTGCAAACTATGCAACAGATAAAGGGTTGATAATAAGAATCAACAAAGAAATCAAGACACTCCACAACATCAAAACAAACAACCCACTGAAGAGATGGGCCAAGGACCTCAACAGACATTTTTCAAAGGAGGAAATCCAAATGGCCAACAGGCACATGAAAAAATGTTCAAGATCACTAGCAATCAGGGAAATGCAAATCAAAACCACAATGAGGTTTTACCTCTCCTGGTTAGAATGGCTCACATTCAGAAATCTACCAACTATAGATGCTGGAGAGGATGTGGGGAAAAAGGGACACTAACCCACTGTTGGTTGAATGCAAACTGGTTAAGCCACTATGGAAGTCAGTCTGGAGATTCCTCAGAAACCTGAATATAACCCTACTATTCAACCCAGCTATCCCACTCCTTGGAATTTACCCAAAGGAAATGAAATTGACAAACAAAAAAGCTGTCTGCACCCTAATGTTTATTGCAGCTCAAATCACAATAGCCAAGACCTGGAACCAACGCAAATGCCCATCAACAGTAGACTGGATAAAGAAATTATGGGACATGTACTCTATAGAATACTATACAGCAGTCAAAAGCAATGAAACCCGGTCATTTGCAACAAGATGGAGAAATTTGGAAAACATCTTGCTGAGTGAATTAAGCCAGTCCCAAAGGGACAAATATCATATGTTCTCCTGATCTGGGACAACTAACTGAGCAGCAAAGGGGAAACTTGTTGAAGTGAAATTGACACTATGAGAAACAGTGACTTGATCAGCCCTTGTCCTGACTGTTGATGTACAATGTAATACTTTATCCCTTTTAGTATTTTTATTTGTTCTAGTACTATTGGTTGAACTCTGTAATTAACACACAATTATTCTTAGGTGTTTAAATTTTAACTGAAAAGTGATCCCTCTTAGGAATCTGGAAAGCATTATGCTGAGTGAAATAAGCCAGTCCCAAAGGGACAAATACCTTATGTTCTCCCTGATCAGTGACAACTAACTTAGCACCAAAAAGGAAACCTGTTAAAGTGAAATTAACACTATGAGAAACGGTGACTTGATCAGCCCTTGCCCTGACTGTTGATGAACAACTGAATACGTTATCCTCTTAGTATTTTTTTGTTTGTTCTACTTAATACTTTTGGTTGAATACTGTAATCAATACACAGTTATTCTCGAGTGTTGAAACTTGACTGAAAAGTGATTGCTGTTAAATGTAAGAGTGGGAATAAGAGAGGGAAGAGATGTGCAATTCAGGACATGCTCAAGCTGACTTACCTCAAACAGTAGAGTTAGAAACATACCAGGGGATTCCAATTCAATCCTATCAAGGTGACATGTACCAATGCCATCTCACTAGTCGAGGTGATCAATTTCTGTTCACAATTGATCATAATGATAGGACTAAGTGCCAAAGGGAGCACATAAACAAGAATAGTGTCTGCAAATACTAGCTGATAGAATAAAAAAGGGAGAGAATAATCCAACATGGGAAGCGAGATACACAGCAGACCCATAGAATGGCAGATGTCCTAAACAGCACTCTGGCCTCAACTCTCCAGTTAAAAGATATATACTGCCTGAATGGATTGAAAAAAGCAAGACCCATCTATTTGCAGCCTACAAGAAATACATCTCATCAACAAAGATACATGCAGACTGAAAGTCAAAGGATGGAAAAAGTGAAAATAGATACACCATATGACCCAGCAATCCCACTGCTGGTAATCCACAAAAACAAAATGAAATGAGCATAGGAGTTATCTGCACCTCCATGCTACTGCAGCGCAATTCACAATAGCTATGATACAGAATCAACCCAGATGATCATCAGTGATGAATGGATAAAGAAACTGTGGTATATAATGAAGTATGGAATACTACTCAGCCATAAAAAATGAAATCCTGCCTTTTCCAACAAAATGGGTGCAACTGGAAACCATTATACTTAGTGAAATAAGCCAGTCCCCAAAACACAAATACCACATGTTTTCTCTGATCTGTGGTAACAGAGTACCAAAACTGTAACATATAGGAGTAAGTGTTTTCTTCTATCTGCTGAGCTCTTAGTGTAGGGCTAATCCTATGAGTATAAAATAAACCCAAAGAAAATCATCATAAAAATTAAGAGGGAATAAGAGGACAGAAGAGAAAGAGTGGCAGGATGGGTGGGAGGAAGGGTAGGGTGGAAAGTATCACTGTTCCTAATCTGTATATATGAATTACATGAAATCTGTTTACCTTAAATTAAAAAAAAAAAATAAAATAAAAGAGAACTAAATCCTAAACAAACCAAAAAAAACCCTTTTTCCACTCACTGGTTATTCTATTAAATTACCTTTGTATGATTCTATCTCAAGAAAGTTCAAGTATCATGAATTCAATAATTTTGCAAACTAAATATTTCATGTAACTGTGTAGTTTCATAATATTGAGAAAAGTACCTTACCTTGTTTTTTCTGTTGTCATTATATTTGATCAAGTCTAAAATAAATGTTAAGACTTCTTTGGGACAAAGGTTATGAACATCTCTTAATAAAGCCATTGCAACTGGCATAGTCTACAAAAAAATTTTTAAAAGAGCATAATGTAACTTTTATCACTACAGTTCATCAAACAATAAATAGAAAAAGGTTTATTCTGGGGTTGGCATATATATGCAGAGCCTATTTCCCATCACCTCCCATTGAAAACATATTTCAAAGCATTTAACATGAAAGAACAGACAGGAAGGAAACCAAGGGAAGAGTTTCTGTAGGTCATGTGCCTTCGTCCTCATTTCCTGGAACAAGGTAGCACAGTATTTCAAATGGCTGATGGAAATTGAATTAAATAAATGGGCAAAATTGAAGGGTCAGCACTGTGGCATAGCAGGTGAAGCCACTGCCTGCAGAGCTGACATCCCATATGGGCGCCAGTTCGAGTCCCAGAGGCTCCAGTTCCAATCCAGCTCTCTGCTATGCCCTGGGAAAGCAGTAGAAGATGGCCCAAGTGCTTAGGTCCCTGCACTTGCATGGGAGACCTGGAAGAAGCTCCTGGCTCCTGGCTTCAGATCAGTGCAGCTCCAGCCATTGTGGCCATTTGAGGAGTGAACCAGCAGAGGGAAGATCTCTCTCTCTCTCTCTCTTTCTCTCTCTGCCTCTGCCTCTGCCTATCAGTAAATCTGCCTCTCAAATAAATAACTCTTAAAAAAAACTTTATATATTTGATCTTTTATAATTCTTTACAATTGCATAAACTGAGGCTTAGAAGGTTAGCCAACTTATCCAGTCTAAACTACCTAAAGTGTAGTAGAGCTGGGGCTAGAACTAGAGCTCTACCCTGTATTGCTCTACTTAGATTTGCTGTCCACATTCTATAAGGATTGTTCTCAGAACAGCTTACCCACACTTCCATCCCCCTATTAGGCAAATGACCTGTTTCCATTAATTTTTGGATTCAGGTGGACAGTGAGTTACTCATACGCAGATGATAAAAATGAATGAACACTCAAAAGTTTTTGAAAATCTTTAGAAGCCAAAAACAAATGTAAGCTTTTTATAAGTAAAAATATCTACTAATGTCTCCAGCTTAAATATATAAATATATTTATGTAATATAAAACAATCCTAAGAAAGTTACAAAGTATACCATACCTTCTGTAGAAAGTAACTTTGAAAGCTCATAAAGTTGTTTGTTTTCACAATGTTTGGACAAGTTTTGCAACAAAACATTCTAGTAAACAGTGACTTCATGGCTGGTGGTCCTGTCCATGTGCTCACCATTGAATTTGCAATCTGTGAAGAGAAAATCAATTTCCATCACCACTGTAAATATACTTTTAAATAAATAAAACAGCCTTATGAAGATTATCAGTGCTACAAATGGATTAAGTGCTCAACAATTTAAATTTTCAGAAATGTAATACCACTTAGTCTTTTACTGCCATTGTCAAGAAGATACACAAACTTACTCTTCAAAGTTTATGTGCCTTTATAATTCTTTTTTGTGAGAAATTGCAGGATTCTTTTTTTTTAAGAAAATATGTTTGAAAAGGCTTCTATTCAGAGTAAATTTGTCTGCATCTACTTAGGCAGATGTAATTCTAATATTTAAAATGTATTTTAAATGAGGCTTTCCTGTCTTCTCTAATTGAAAAACAGACCAAACACAAAGAGATACCATCTAAGTCTGTAAGAATATTTTACAAAAGACTGTTATCTTGCTATTGATATTTTTAGGGTACATAAAAATCATGCTTGAAGAAAATGAAATCATAACTAGCTTTAAATAGCATACTACACAATTTAATAGTTCTGCTAAGATTTCACATGCAATTATCACAAGGATCTTTACAGAACTGATGAAATTACTTTCTTAGCAAATGATTGATTATTCAACTAACCACTTATCATTAAAGAAAAAACCAACCTAAACAAACCATTATCTACTGAAATATAGGACAAATGGATTTAGCAATGAAGAAGGCAGGAGAGTCACTAACTGGAAATGAACCTTTATCAAATGCTTTTTAAATACCTGGAACCACTATTTCTGGTCAAATTTTTTTTTTTTTTTTTTTTTTTTTTGACAGGCAGAGTGGACAGTGAGAAAGAGAGACAGAGAGAAAGGTCTTCCTTTTCCCGTTGGTTCACCCTCCAATGGCCGCTGTGGCCGGCGCGCTGCGGCCTGCGCACCGCGCTGATCCAATGGCAGGAGCCAGGTGCTTCTCCTGGTCTCCCATGGGGTGCAGGGCCCAAGTACTTGGGCCATCCTCCACTGCACTCCCTGGCCACAGCAGAGAGCTGGCTTGGAAGAGGGGCAACCGGGACAGAATCCGGTGCCCCGACCGGGACTAGAACCTGGTGTGCTAGCGCCGCAAGGCAGAGGATTAGCCTAGTGAGCCGCGGCACCGGCCTCTGGTCAAATTTTTGACTACATTTTTCTGGTTTTCATTTGTTCTACCTTCAGATTTTTTGCATCTAAAGAAAAATATTTAGTTCTCTTAACAAATTAAACTTTTCTAGAATGTTAAATTATAGAGCCTATCATTTAAATTATTACTTATTAGTAATATTGATTCCTCAATCCAAACTAACATAAAATAATTAGCACAGTGAGATAATTAACTGACTTGACATACCAACAAATTTCTTAACAAATAAATCCTTTTCCTTAAAAAATTTGGTAGGCAATTTAATAAGATGGAGAAATTCTCTTTGGTTTAAAAAATTTGATGTTTAATTTAACAATTATAAAGTTTTCTATAGAACTATTTTTAGGTCAAAACATGTTTCTTTTTAATCAGTCCCATTAAAAACATTAGACAAAAGCTTTTAAGAGCCAACTACTAAGTAAATTTAGACTACAGTGAACTTTTAGAGATGAAAAAAAAAAAAACTACAGCAGTCATCTTGTCTTCTTTTTGTGACAACCAATCTCACCTTTGCAAGGCAGAAGCAAGCTGACATTCTTACTCGGTAGAAACACTGCTCTTGTTCTAATATGTCAGTGAGTGCAAGCCGAGATGCTGGAGTGGGAAATTTTTCCAAGGCCAATATGGATTCCTGCTGAGCAACAACATCCCTCTCATAGCGGAGTTGATACTGCCACATAAAATCAGCCTGCTCAAATTCTACCTTCCTTAATACTGACATATCTGGATCTATCCTTATCCACAGCAAAGGGGAATCAGCACTGAAAAAGAATACAATTTCCTTTTTTATTTAACTCTGCAGGTCGATGCACCCATGTTTAGAGAAAAAAAGCAAAACTTGTGTTAACCAAATTCTCTTTTCAACATAGTATTCACGATAGCCTACAGTTTTACAGATTCACCTTTTTAAACCACACTGACAAATTCTCTTTATGTTTAATTCATATATTTCAAATTTCTCACAATGCTAATGTGTATCAATCTTTCGAAAAAGATCAAAGACAACAAAATAATTGCACAAAAGACATGAAATCCTTCATCGTCCATCTCAAAATATTATTTGCTGGGGCTGGCGCCATGGTTCACTTGGTTAATCCTCCACCTGCGGCGCCGGCATCCCATATGGGCACCGGGTTTTAGTCCCAGTTGTTCCTCTTCCAGTCCAGCTCTCTGCTGTGGCCTGGGAGGGCAGTGGAAGATGGCCCAAGTGCTTGGGCCCTGCACCCGCATGGGAGACCAGGAAGAAGCACCTGGTTCCTGGCTTCAGATCAGTGCAGCACCGGTCGTAGCGGCCATTTGGGGAGTGAACCAATGGAAGGAAGACCTTCCTCTCTGTCTTTCTCTCACTATTACTCTACTTGTCAAATAAAAAAAATATATATATTATTTGTGGGATTCTGATTTAAAATTATGTGAAGTAAAAAAGAAGAATGAGAAGAATTTCTTCATTTAACCTTGAGCAGCCTAGTAACTTTTGGTATAAACACCACAATTCATTGGAAATCATTCTGTGACTAAAAAATGAAAGCATCTACATTTCTAAGTTAATTTGATTACTTACCTACTGAATGCTATTTTAAAGTGCTAGACTCACGATCATCTTCTCAAATAGCAAGTTCTGAAATCTTGATGCAGAAACATGAAATGAACTTAACCTCACGTACTTCTCAAAGTACAGTTAAAATAATCTGGCCTACGTCAAAATTTCCATCAAAAGAATACCAAGACACTTGCTATGGAAAAATTAACACTAATATTAAAGGGTAAGTGATTAAATCCATATATAAACAGCAGTGAAAACTTGGCAATCAAGTTATCAAATAATTACAGCTGTTTGATTAAAAAAAAAAATACAAGGGGGTGGCACTGCAGCACAGGAGGGTAACTGCAGCTTGGGATGTCCAAGTACGCTAGGTTCAGTCTTGTTACTTCACTTCCAATCCAGCTTCCTACTAATGAATCCTGGGAAGCAGAAGATGATGGTTCAAGTGCCTGGACCCCTGCCACCCACATGGGTGATCCAGATAGTGTTCATGGGCATGGTATGGCCTAGTCCTGGCTACTGCATATATCGGGGGAGTAAACCAGCGGATAGAAAATATCTTTCTCTCTTTCTCTGCTGCTCTGCCTTTCAAGTAGATAGAAATAAATAAATACCTAAAAAAAAGGTTGTATCCAACTGTTAAAAAACACAGAAGCATATGACAGATGGGTAAAATAAGAACGCATGAGTTATACTATACAGATTGGTAGCCTTTATCCCACATGCTTGTGATGTAAAGAGTTTAAACTTCAGTTCTGTTCTGATTTTGGAATTTAGGCATTAGTGCATCTGCATTTTGACTGCAACCTGTCATTTGACATCAGGTTTGAAACATTCCACTTGTGGCATAATGTTATCATTCAAAAAGTTTTGGATTGAGAGTATTTAGGATTTTATAATTTCAGTTTAGGGATGTTCAATCTGTATTTTAAAATGAAACAGTGTCAATCAATAAATATCACCACATAACATACATAACAGTGGTTTTAAAATTGCATTTTGCAAACAGAGGGTCTCAGAGTAACTTGGAACCTAGTTCCAAAGTCAAAGAAAATCAACATTACTGGGAGCTCATTAGAAGTACAAACTATTAGGTCCCGATAGTGAAGTTCTCAATCAGAAGCTGCATTTTAAGATCTCTAAACAATTCACGTGCACATAATGGTTGAAAAGTTATCAAGAGAGATCAAGACAACTGTATAGTCAGGACTATATCCTCCGCTACAACCATACCACATTTCTTATATTTATCCTCAGAGGCCAGATTTACTTTCATCTATTTGATTAGTTATGATTTTAGGTAAAATTTTTCAGCACTGAATTTCCATTGACTTTTAAGTTTCTTTTTCTCTTTTAAAAGATTTATTTGAAAGGCAGAATTACAGAAAGAGAGAGAGAGAGATTGTCCATCTGCTGGTTCATACCCTAGATGGACGCAATGGCCAGGGTTGGGCCAGGCTGAAGCCAGGAGCCTGAAGCTTCATTCAGGTCTCCCATGTGGATACACAGCCTAAGGATTTGGACCATCCTCTACTGCTTTTCCAGGCACATTAGCAGGGAGCTGGATGAGAAGCAGAGCAGCCGTGACTTAGACCAGCTATATGGACTGCTGGCTTTGCAGGGAGTGACTTAACCCACTGTGCCACAGTGCCAGTCTCTGACTTGTAAGTTTCTAAAACAGCAATTTCAAGGAAAATTACACACTTTTAGAAATGCCTAACAAGTGGGAAAAACGCCAAAAATATTCTATCTTTAAATTTGGGTAACTAACTTACTCCATTGCAGAAAGATCCATGTCCACTTCTTCTCCATTCATCAGTGGGATCTTTTTTTTCTTATTCCTACATTTAAGGAAAGATAAGTTTGAAAACTTAAGAGATTTCAATTCTGAATGGAGACCAAGAGTAGCTAAGTTTAAATAAAGAATTCCACAAAACACTGAAATATATGCTAAGGAACAATGAAATCAACTGTAATAACTGAAAAAAATTTTTTTCCATTTTGAATCTAGGTAGAATAAAGTAAAAGCACTGAAATCTTTTCCAGATCATAGCTATAAAAAAGCAGAAATATATTATTAAATGCTGATTTGAAACATATTTCTAAAAACTGGTAGTTGTAATATTATAAAGAAAATATGCAAATCAATTAATAAAGAAATATTTTTTGACATGGAAAAATAAGCAGGCCTGAAATAAGTTAATAATGCTGAACCATGCAACCTGTGCAAGGCTGTCCTATGTGAAATAAACTGAATAATAAAATGTCTTGAGAGTATCAATTAGCCTTTCTCTTTTTCTCTGCCGTGGTAGTTAAGTGTGCCTGACTATTCCTTGCCAAGTCTTCTCACCATACTTTCAACATCAAGAGAGTCCTGCTCAAAAAACAAAAACAAACGCATCCCATACTCCAATAGATATAGATGAAACTGGTAATAAAATCAGGGACAACTCCAAGAAGAGACACTCAAGAACCACCAAGCTGGGTCTATAAGGAACTGCACGTGAGATGGCATCTATTTATGCCGTATCAAGGTGACTATCAACTTAACCACATTAAGTTCAAAGTGTTACCACCGTCTGGACAGTTAAACATGTCTAATGGGGGATATACTAAGGGGCTGGTTCAGTAATATATAATATGTGAAATGCTTTTTGGAGGAAAAAACAGTATTAATATATAGAATTAGTTAATATGCATAATCTTTAAGATGACAAAAGAAAAGTAATTATTTCCACGTGAATTACTCCTATACCATAATGCCTACTGGCTAACACAATGAAAACTTGGGGAAGAACAAATAAAAATAGCAACAGAGAACAGTCTTCCTGTGTTTCTCACACTGAAGAATATTCAAAGATATACTATTATTATAGGAAAAAGAACTGAGGAAATGCTATGGAAGGGGTTATTATAAGATGTTCCCATTTTCCAAGGTGAGTGGAACAAAAAGAAACAGGAATTTCAATCTGAATTAAGAATTTTCTGAGAGTAACATGATTGCAGGAATATTTCAGAATCAAGTTCTTTTAAGGTCTTCAAAATTTATATTCTTATCTGTCTGAGATAACATGACCATAAGATTTCCACTCCCTAGGCATTGAAATTACCACACGTTCCTTCAGAAAACACAGAAACGTTCTCATCTTTCACTATTCTGAGAACATTCTAGCTGCTGAGTTAAATAAGTGGTAAAGGAAAAACATTAAATAAAAATCAAACTGCTGGACTTTTTGAAGTGGCAATTTGCTTTGAGATATGTCAAGAATATTCAGTAGGCACATGGTGACACACAGAAAAAGGAAAAACAGACATAGTAACCAACACGCAGGGGCTTTTCATGACATTTTCAGTTCCTTCCCTTTAAACACTGTTTTTCCAGTATTTCCTGCAGATATTAATCCAGCAAGATAAATAAGAACAAACCTATTTGTTTAGAAATTTTCCTACCTCTAAAAATCCAAACTTCCATTCTACAAAAACCCCTATATACTCCCCACATTAGTCTCAAATCTAAATTTTAATTATTATGTTCTTTAATTCTAAAGATAAAAACATCATCCAAAAAGCAAACAAAGACTGTTTGATAATGCTAACTTGAAGTCAAATGGGGAAGCAAAGAAACTAGGTAACATGTTCTCTACTTCAAAAACTAGGTATATCTCTATATCAGGAAAATTTTATTTTGGTATTTTAATTGGTGGAATTTACAGCTTAACATTTAGTTTACTGTATGATTCAACACCTACCTTCTGCTTTTAGAATGGCAGGGAATATCATGCTTAAGGCTGTTTTCTTCTATTTGCAATGTATGATTAAAGGATCCGTCTAATTCCTGCACTGTCACTTTAAGTGGTCCCTTAAAAGAAAAAAAATTTGTTCAAAGACATGCTAGAATAACAGTAATATGTATGCTTATGTGTACAGAAGGGTATGTAGGAAGACATAAAATAATCTACACAAAACGTGTATCAAGAGACAAAGAATGGCAAGATGGGCCACCGATGAGGGGGACTGGGAAAACCTGTGTGTGATCCCTGACATCTCCACCTGTTCCTGCTGATGCTCAGTATTTTCCCAACTCATTCTCTGCAAACAAAATCTCTTTATGAAACTTCTCACCAGTAACCCCATCTCAATCCTTTTCAGTATTAAAACTGGGGAGACAGCAACACAAAAGTTTGTGTGTGTGGAGAAAAAAACACTTACCACATATTTCTGAGTTCCAGGAGATGTATAATCTTGCTTTATTTCCAATTCCAAGACATTTCGTTTTCTGTTAAATGCAAAACTTCCATAAAATTTTACCACCCCACTCTGGTCTCTGGAGAATTATAAAGGAAATTTCATATACTGAAATGAATATACATTAAATAAAACAGGATGCTCATTATGGAATTAATAAGTTTCTACTGTATTCTCTCCAGTACAGAGTCTGAGGGCATACTTCATTGTAAACCAGGTAGCAAAGTATCCAAAATTTTTGTGAAAAATGTTTTCCCAGACTTAAACAAAATTTCTGAAACATTGAGAAATTTGTGCCCTGGAAGAAGCAAAACCACTCTCCTGGATTATTAATATAACAGTGTTTTGAAATGAAAACTCAGAACTTTCAAAGTTCCCAAATACCACTCAAATTGTGCCAAACTCTAACCACATGTGAAAGTCAGCAGATCACTGATTTTACAAGTAATCCTACAGGCCTGTCTGAAGGCTTACTGACCTCAACAAACTCGTTCCTTCACTCACATACTAAAAGTAACTCAAAATATGCCAAATTTATACACGCATACAAACACACACACTGAGGTAGAGAGAAAGAGAAAGAGAGAGAATGCATGTGTGGTGTGTGTATCTCAATGATTAGTAGGTAACTTAGTGGAACTGATTTGTAGTTAATGGTTATTCAATAGTTTATACTCCTTTTAGCACCCCCAAAGCCCTCTTCTTCATATTCCCCTTACACACTATTCTTATTCTTTTCCCCGCTTTGCTGAACTGCTATTGAAAAGGATACACCCACTGCTTTATTAAAGGCTGGATGTCTTTGCCAGAGACATTTGAAATGGATTTCAAAAACCCAGATGTGGAAACCAACATCTGACTCCACATATGTGACTGGAACTTCTGAGATGAAGCAGTGCTGGCTAGACTTAGCAGTTTATTGAAAACCTGCAAGGATAAAACTGTCATTTACCAAGCAAATATAATATATTTCTTTCAATTCTATACATGTTGCACTATAATTATAGGAGATAATAACTCACATATTAGATTTTTCTAGTCAAAGACAATGAGCAAAAGAAATGTGATATATAAACAGATTATATGTCAATTATACAAATAAACATCAAAAATTAATGATATATTAGACAAAAATATTGTGTTAACTATAATCACAATATTTAATATATATAATTTATAGGGCTATGAGTTGTACATAAAGCTAAACATCTTTTAGATTGATTTTTTTTCTATTAAAAACATTTCTAAGTGAAATTTCATTAATATTCTAAGTAATGTGGAACACAAAATCATATGTATAGATTTTATTTCATTTCCATATTCTAATTTTATCTTCCTAATAATCGTGTGCTGAGTGCATCAGGTACTGATAAAAATTCTACAGCTGAGGAATCTCAAAGAAAACAGATTATTCAGTGGGAATAGAATTATAAACTCAGATGCCCTGTGTGCTACAGGAGAGTATTCAGGTTACTTATACACAGAATTGATGACGTTCTTAACTTTAATACTTACTTGTAGCATGAATTCCATACTGATTCTATTTTCAATCAATCTCATCACAAGGTGAGCTTTACACTGAAACATAGTATAATATTCCCAGGACAATGTATGTGGATGCTTGATTGAAAAATGTAGATGGGATGCTGGACTAAAACACAGAAGCAGATTTAGTAAATAAAACAAATTTGAAGATTAAATAATAAATTTTATGGTAACATCAGACTATATGAAAAACTTTACCTAAGCATTTGCCATAGTATTAAGAAATATTTAAAAATAAACTTAAATGAAAGAAAATTATGAAGTTTTTACTAAAGGACATAAAGACAAACTTGAATAAATGTTAACACATGTCAAGATCCTAGATAAGGAGATACAATAATGTATATATTTCAATTCTCTCCAGATTCATCAATAAACAATGTAATTCCAACTGATAACCCAATTTTAAAGCATGCACAAAAATACATTCAAGATAGATTGTCTAAAACAAACAAAAGCAATTATAAAAATAGCAGAAAAGTGAAAATTTCCCTTGCAAACTGAGAATCAAAGAAATTCCCTAAGTAAAAATACAAAATCTGGAGGACGTAAAGACAAAATGACTATGTAAATATTAAAAATGTTAATACTATGAAAAAGATCAGTAAATTTCAAGAAAAGTATAGGTTAGTAAAATACTTATTATATGTAACATGTACAGAAGTATTTCTGTATGAAAATGACCAGAGGTAAAATTTCTATATGATCACACAGAAGCAGAATTGCTAGGACTAATTTTTATCCATTTTAAAATTTCAACTATTATCAATTAATTACTCCTCAAAAATGTATCAAATCATATTCTCACTATCAATGTATGAGTGTATAAAATCTATGAGTGGTACTCTGGTTTGAATGAGGGTATCTCCTACAAACTTCATATTGAAACATCATCCAAAATGCAACAGTATTAAGGTATGTGGCATATGGGAGATGATTAAAACATGAGGGTAGAGTCCTTATCGACAAGATGAGAACCCTAATAAAAAGGCTCCAGGTTGAAGAGAGCCCTCATTTGCCCTTCCAGCACGTGAGGGCACATCATTCCTTCCTGGAGGGGGATGCCACATTGGAAAAAAGAATAGGCTTAACTAGACACCAATCCTACAAAATCCTCTTGATCTTGGCTTTCCTGGCTCCATCCTCTCTACAATTATTAACTGTGAAAAATAAATTCCAATTGTCTAAAATTACTCAGTCTATGGTACTGTGTTACAGTAGCATAAATGGATTAAGCAAGTAGCATAATACATCCTTAAAAATATAGCATATTGGGGCTGGCTCTGTGGCGCAGTAGGTTAATCCTCCGCCTGCAGCACCGGCATCCCATATGGGTGCCGGTTCTAGTACCGGCTACTCCTCTTCCAATCCAGCTCTCTGCTATGGCCTTGAAAAGCAGTAGAAGATGGCCCAAGTGCTTGGGTCCTTGCACTTGCATGGGAGACCGGGAAGAAGCACCTGGCTCCTGGCTTCGGATCGGCAGAGCTCCAGCCGTTGCAGCCATCTGGGGAGTGAACCAACGGAAGGAAGACCTTTCTCTCTGTCTCTCCTTCTAACTATCTGTAATTCTACTTCTCAAATAAATATATAAAAAATCTTCAAAAAAAAAAAAAAACACAGCATATTGTGGGGACCAGCATTGTGGCATAGTGGGTAAACCTGCTGCCAGAAACACTGGCATCCCTTACGCATGCCAGTTCAGGTCCTGGCTACTCCACTTCCAATCCAGCTCTCTGTTAATGTGCCTGGGAAAGCAGCCAGCAGAAGATGGCCCAAATGCTTGGGACCCTACACCCGCAAGGGAGACTGGGAAGAAGCTCCTGGCTCCTGGGTTTGGCCTGGCCTGGACATTGTGGCCACTTGGGGAGTGAATCAGCAAATTCAGACCTCTGTCTTTCTGGCTCTTCCCCGCCCCACTCTCTCAGTAACTCTTTCAAAAAATAAACCTTTAAAAAAAGAGAAAAGAGCTGTGTGTCATCTATAGGCTGCAGCATCACTTTAAAAAATTTATGGTGGGGCCAGTGCCATGGTGTAGCAGGTAAAGCCGCTGCCTATAGTGGCAGCATCCCACATATGGGTGCCGATTTATGTAGGTTTGTGGCTATTCAGGTGAACAGGTACAGGCAAATATCTTCTTGTTGAAATTATCTACTTACACTTAAAAAAAAAAGTAATATACAAGCAAACTGCTTCTATTATTTTTAAACCTTAATGAGAACAGCATGATACAAACAGCATTTGGAAATCAGCATGGAAAACAGAAAAGCATTACTTTTTTTTAATATTTATGTATTATTTAAAAGGCAGAGTTAGAGATAAAGTGAAGATAGAAAGAGATATTCCATCCACTGGTTATCTCCCCAAATGGCCAAACAGCTGTGACTAGGCCAGGTGGAAGCCAGGAGCCAAGAGTTTGTACTAGGTCTCCCACTTGGGTGCAGGGGCCCAAGAACTTGGGTCATAGTCCATTGCTTTCCCAAGTACATTAGCAGGGAGCTGAATCAGAAGTGGAGTAGCTGGGACTTGAACCAGTACCCATATGGGATTTGGGCACTATAGACAGCAACTTAACCTGCAGGGCCATTGCACTGGCCCCAAGCATTATGTTTTTAAAATCTTTTTAAGGTTAGATCTCTTTCCGACTATCTCATTCAATAAAAACAGTAACCTAATAAAAGAAGTAATGAAAATATTACCAGTGTTTGAGGTACCAATATTTTTGCATGCTATTACTATTTTAGTTTTGTGTGCGCCTCAGTACACATACAAGTAATCTTACAAGATTGATTCCATAAAAGAAGCTTTGTAATATCATCTCTGAACAATGAACATACTTATCCTTTTCTTTTCCGCCACCAAATATGGGATGTAGTAAAACTCCACCAGTTTTCAGTTCATACGCCACTATTCTGTCTAGTTCCTAAATAAAATAAAAAATAGGAGTCAGCAAAAAAAATTTTTACACGTCAAATTTTAGGACCAAATTGTTAATTTCCATTTCCTGGAATCAGACTATAAATTTCTTCAAATAAGTGAAATATATTTGGGAGCTATTTATTTCTTACAAATAAACTAGACTGCACAGCTGGCTGAATGGTAAGAGCCAAAAGCCTTCTCTGCTTTGTGACTTCAAGGCTGGCCAGCAGCCTGTTAACTTCCTTATGGTTCTTTTTAACCTCTCTGACCTGTCTTTCCCAAGTTTATTACTTCCTTTTCTGTATTTTACTTCTGGGAATTCAGGCAAGTAAAAAGAAATTGGGACAAATTAGGAGAGAAATCCATCATTTTAGAACTTTGCAAGTCTCCTGTAATATGAAATGAAAGCTAAAAACAAGTGAAAAAAGACAACACCATAACTGTGTGGCAAACTATGACTAGTTTAAATAACAAGGATGCCTTAAAGAAAAGTGTTCAACAGCACAGCGAAGTGCTTAAGTCAACTTTGAATGGACTCTTTTACTTACCAGTTATGTAATTTTGATGAAATAAATTAAATGTTTGACTCCTTATTTGTAAAATGGAGATAATAGTGGGGTAGTTAGAAGAATTAAGATTGTTAACTTCAGATCTTGCCTTTAGTGCTCAGAGCCGGTCCCTCTACTGTGAGACGCAGCACCTGGTAAACCCAAGGCTCTTCAAGAGTCTCTAAAGTTGCCGTGGCATCAGGCACAGATTTATGCTCCAGTGGCACAAACACATTTCAGCACAATGTGGGCATGGCATGCATTTTCAAGATTGTTCAGGGCTGGTGATGGTGAGACCCAGGGGTGATCCAATTTAGTGCCAACCCAGGGAAACCAGCAGGATTACTTTATCAGCCTTCCCTGAACCTTGAGCAAAATTGTATCTTGGGACTCAAGTGCTGGACTGGTAAAAACCAATACTGGGAAGATCCTAATGGTCCTCCTTTCTAGGTCAGTACCTCCAAACAGAGCCTCTAGACTTGCCCTCACATGAGATGGAGACCTGTGCCCCAGATAGATGGACTTAGCATGTGTCACCATGAGCCATACCTTGGGCCTGGCATGCACCCCCAAGATAATACAGGGCTTAGTGACTATAAGATCCAGGTGTGACTTAGCTTAGTGTCAACCTAGGTGGCCAAGGAGCTGCCTTTATCACCCTTCCACCAACCTTAAGCACACAGCAAGGAACCACAGGACTGAACTCAGTGCTAAGACTGTAAAATCCAATACTGGTCAGATTGTTAAAGTCCCTATTCCCAGAGACTCTGGATCTGCCCTGGCACCAAGAGGTGACTCATGGCCCCAGTTAATTAGACTTATATCCCAGCCAGCATCACATGTGGTTGGTTGCCCTGTCTCAGGTTGTGAGCCCACCTCGAAAGACACAGACCATAGTAGTATGGGCAGTGATCTACCCTACGTTGCATTGGTCTCAGCAGGCTGTGTGCACCAGGAGTGATCTAACACTGTGGCACTGATGGTCACAGGACTAGGTATCTGGTCCTGTGTCAGCCCAAGGAAACGCTCACAGACTATCCCTTTTCAGATACTTTCTCACATCATTCTAAACAACACACTAAATGTGGATCTGGGACAAATTTTAACTTGAGGCATCCTCTAGGACTGAAAGACAGAAAACATACCAACAGTGAACTTGTGGCAAACTCCAGTTAGGGGCGTTATTTAGTGCTGAAATAGCTTAACTGTCTATAGACTCAGAGAAAATAAACAGAATGCTTATAATTTTTGAAAGGGCGGCAACAAAGAAACCAAGATTACAAGGATCGGAAAAAAAATAACTATTCTTCAATGTACACACATTGCATGCAAACAAGAGTCAAGAACTTTCAGGGAACTTTGATCTCTCTCTCTCTCTCTCTCTTTTTTTTTTTTTTTTTTAAGATTTCTTTATTTGAAAATTAAAGTTACGGACAGAAAGGGAGAAAGAGAACAATCTTCCTCCACTGGTTCACTCTCCATATGGCCACAATGGCCAGGGCTAAGTCAGGCCAAAGTCAGGAGCTAGGAACTTCATCTGGGTCTTCCCAAATGGGTAGCAGGGGCCCAGGCACTTGGGCCATCCTTTGCTGCTTTTCCCAGGCCATCAGTAGGAAGCTAGATCAGAAGTGGAGCAGCTGGGACTAGAACCAGTGCCTATAGGGGATGCTGTTATTGTAGGTGGCAGCTTTACCTGCTACACCACAACATTGGCCCCCTGATCTCTTCTAACAAACAAAAAAAAGTGCCAAAAACCAACCATTTAGAAATAGGCATTTTCAAATGCATGTATTAAAAATTCAAAATAACTGTTTCAAGGAAACTCAACAAACTTCAAGAGAAGGTGGAGAAACAAATTCATACTCCATCAGAGACTTGAGACAGAGATGAAATAATTAAAATAAACAGAAATCCTTCAGTTGAAATGTATACTAAGCAAAATTAAAAATCTGACACAGTATCAATAGAATACATCAAACAATACAAAGAATCAGTGAGCTTGAAGACAGGCTACTTGAATATACTGTCAGAGGAATAAAAAGAATGAAAAAGAATAAAGAAAGTTGATGGAAATGCTGAGACAGCATGAAAATTGCAAAGATATGAGTTACTAGGGTTCAGGAACGACTTGAGAATGACAAAGGGTAGAAACTAGACTCAAAGAGAACATAAAATAAGACTTTTCAAACCTAGAAAATGATAGAACTATCCAGGTACAGAAAGGTTAGAGGTCACCAGATTAACTTCAACAAATTGTATCCCAAGACATTTTTTTAAAACCATTACACCAAACGTTTATTTCACTGCACAGTGCCAGAAAGACCTAAAACATAAACTCACAGCAATCATGTTTAAACCCTCATTTCAAAGTGCCAAATTACACTGCTCTGGATCAAACAGATGTGCATTAATTAGACTAACTGCTATTAAACTATTAACACGGAGAAGAGTACTGGCACAGCCAGGTAGACTCCAATTCTGAATGAACTCTGCTCTTGTCTACAGGCAGTAATTTACTGCATTTTTATTAAGTGCTGATTCTTGGATTTTAGTTCTAGGATGGCTGAGAGAATCAAATTTCTCGAATCACTGTTTTCCATAAAGTCTGACTTCTCTATGCCCAGACATTTGGAAAGATTGGGAAAATGCCATTAAGTTCCTAGGAAACTGGAAATTTCTCCATGCAGAGTGTCTCTCCAAGGTTAAAGACAAGGAGTATAGATTTCAAAGCTGCAAAAGAAAAGACACAACACATAAAAGGGTCTCAATTCCCAAAAGGAACCTTACAGGCCAGGAAAGATGAGACTTTCACAGTACTGTCAGAAAAAAACTGCTAGCAAAGAATACTGTATCCAGTAAAGCTATCCCTTAGATGTGAGGGAGACAAAGACATTTCCAGAGAAACAAAAGCTGAGAGTCTTTATCACCACCAAGCCTGTCATAAGAAACACTAACGGGAGTTCCTCAAACTCAAAGAGAGACACAATAACGAGTAAGACATCAGAAAGCAGAAAATTCACTGGTCAAAGTTTACAAAATCAGAATGCTCTAATATTAGAAATGTGGTGGGTAAAGAATTCATATCTTTAGTATGAAGAGTAAAAATAAAACAAGTCACAAAAATAACTACATTAATGTTAAGAGATAGGCAATAAAGTAAGATGCAAAATGGGACTTTAAAAATTCAAACTTTGGGGGCTGGTGTTGTGGCACAGTAGGTTAAACCATTGCTTGCAACCCCAGCATTCCATATTTGAATGCCAGTTCAAGTCCCAGCTGCATTGCTTTCAGTCTAGCTTCCTGCTAATAAACCTGGGAAAGCTATGGAAGACTGCCTAATGTTTTGGCTCCTGCATCCATGTGGGAGACCAGGATGGAGTTCCTGGCTCCTCACTTTGGCCTGGCCCAACACTGGCTGTTGCAGCACTTTTGGAAGTAAAAAAGCAAATGGAAGATCAGTCTACTTGTCTCTCCCTCCTTCTCTCCTGCTCTCCCTCTCCTTCCATCTCTCTCTTTCTGCCACTCTCCTTTTCAAGTAAATACGTAAGCAGGCAAATAAATAAATAAATAAATAATCTTTAAAAAATACTTAAAATGGGGCCAGTATCATGGCATAGCAGATTAAGCTGCTGCCTGCAGCGCCAGCATCCCATATGGGCACCAGTTCAAGTCCTGACTACTCCACTTCCCATCTATCTCCCTGCTAATGCAACCTGGGAAAGCAGCAGAGAATGGCCCAAGTCCTGGGCCCCTGCACCCACTTGGGAGACCTGGAAGAAGCTCCTGGCTCCCGGCTTCAGCCTCCAGCCCTGGTTGCTGCAGCCACTTGGGGAGTAAACTAGCAGACAGAAGACTTTTCTCCCTGTAACACTGCCTTTCAATTAAATCAATTAAATCTTTAAAAAATATATTCAAAATGTGGGGAGAAATGGACTGCAAATGTAGAGTTCTTTATTAGTATTTTTGTTTTTGTTTTTGTTTTTTTTTTGTTTTTGTTTTTGTTTTTTTTTTGGACAGGCAGAGTTAAGCAGTGAGAGAGAGAGAGAAGAGAGAAAGGTCTTCCTTCCGTTGATTCACTCCCTAAATGGCTGCTACGGCCGGCACGCTGTGCCGATCCAAAGCCAGGAGCCAGGTGCCTCCGGGGGTCTCCCATGCGGGTGCAAGGGCCAAACACCTGGGCTATCCTCCACTGCCCTCCTGGGCCACAGCAGAGAGCTGGACTGGAAGAGGAGCAACTGGGACAGAATCCGGTGCCCCAATTGGGACTAGAACACGAGGTGCTGGCACTGCAGGCGGAGGACTAGCTAAGTGAGCTGTGGTGCCGGCCTATTAGTATTTCTTATTTCTTTCTTTTCCATTTATAAAAGGATTTATTTTTTATTTGAAAGGCAGAGTAACATGTAGGGAGGGAGAAAGAAAGAGAGGGAGATACTGGGTTCTTCCATCAGCTGATTCA